CCAGTAGGAGGCATAGAATCCCAGCAGGCAGGCAGCCTTGATGGGAATCCGTCGCATGAAAGGCACCGGAAACCAGATCCTGCGCTCTTTCTACAATGGCTGTAACGGGCTTGAGGGTTTAGAGCTTAGGACATTCCACGGATTTTGGTGTGCTGTCAAAAAGCGCTTTGGAAGGTGGCTTTAGGGCTGTCTAAAGTTCTCATCGGATTCTAATGCCTCGGTGCCTAAGGATGTTCGAGGCATTTAGAGCATTGGACGGCGATGGGAAGGCGGGTAGCGCCGGGTATGCTTCGGAGTAGTGCCGGTTATGCCCGGGTAGCGCCGGGTATGTCTGGCTAGCGCTGGGTATGCGCGAGTAGCGTCGGCTACGTGCGAGTAGCGCCGGGTATGTGTGAGAAGCGCCGGCCATGCGCGAGAAGCGCATTGCATGCGCGAGTCATGCCTGGTGGCGCCGGGTATGCCCGAGTGCATTTCATGTCTTTCAGTTTTCGGTATATTCTGTACAGAGCACATTGTATATTGCCTGTAACACCGTTCATGCCTCACATATTAATTTTTATCCGTCCATAGTAAACTTTGCAGTGTTTTAAGGTATAAAGTTTATATCGTGCATGATATACCTATATGTGTATATATGTGTATATATATATATATATATACATATATGTATGTATGTATATGTACATGTGTATATATATTTATAGAAAACGGTAGAGTTCTGTATCAACTGCAAACTCCTTACCCTGATATTGCAGACGGCGTTGTATGCTGCATGCCGAAAACTACGGTGTGAGATAATATGTTATTACATGATTTTAAGACGTAGATAGTCAATGCTACATGTTACATATTTAGAGACGTGGTATATGACATGAACAGTATATAGTGTAATATAAAACACATAGTAGATCGTATCTCTTTATACTGTATATTGCATAAGGAATATCATTTAGGCAGACAGGCATATAAGGGTTTAGGGTATAGGGTTATACCGGAGAGTATGACGCCGTATAGACGGGCGTACGCGAGCATCCACGGGCGCAGTACTTGCGGCTACTAGGGCGTACTCGGGGCTACCTAGAGTGCGCTGGCCCATTTCGACCGCAACGGAATAGTGTATCTACGTCCTTACAGGGTTCACAGAACTTATGGAAAAAAAGCTATAAACCGTTAAAGAATCTTACGAAAAACTTCTTTCAGGTCGAGCCCAGAAGCAAGATGCCGATGATGTTGAAGAACAAATGCCTCGCGCTCGTCCAGTTCCGTTGGGCAGAGCGAAAAGGTTTGATTGTAACATGACTGCGCCAAAAGCAACCACCTCCTACCCCAAAAAGTAATGCTTACCAAACCCCCAACAACTGCTTAGAAGTCCTAATGCCCCTTCTTCGAAACAATACACCAACAGCAGGAACACTAGCAATTGCAACCCATTCAACGGCATTTAAGTAGCCCTACAAACCCGAGCAAGATGCACGAAGGCGATCTGCAGGCTGTCAGGCTTCATCCTCGGTTCATCAGGGTTTGGGCATTTAGGCTTTAAGGTTTACGCCAAGGAGCTGAAGCTGGGCTGCCGTAGTGTTTAAAATACATCCCCGTCATAATCGCTTGAGCCCAGCTCATGCAAAACACTATAGGAGCCCTTCAACCCGAAACCTTAAACCCTATAAACCCTACACCCTAGCCTTATACCCTTTTTGCGAACCCAAAGCAACTCTCCTTATTCAGCCCCGAACATGGCTGGAGGAGTCCCCTTTAAGAAGCCCAGCATCACTGCCAGGGCGGCCAACATGGATGTGAATGTGGTGCCTTGAGAAAGGAAATTGAACGGTGGGCTTAAAGTTTCACGGGTAGGGTTCAGGGTTAAGGGTTTAGACTACTTGCAAGGGACAACGGCACTGGCACTGACAGCGACACCTATACTGCAACTCTACTTGCTATCTTGCCCATGACGCCTTCTGTCTATGCTATGTGCAGGCAACCTGCAAAGCTGATAAGATCTGGTTTCTTCCCTTCGTCATAGAGATTAGCTGCGTCAATCACGTGCCTATACGCACTCGACTTCCTACATTTCCTACACGACATGGCTTGACCATCTTACGCGTCTTTGCTTCTGGCTAAGCTGTCTGTAATTAAAGCCCACAGAACCCACCACGCATGTTTCTCCTCGGCTGTACACCAGATCAAACCTACAACACTGCTCAATAAACATATACAGTCACTTCATTATGGAACCTTTGATGTGTCGCCAGATCCTGCCAAGCTACCGATGTTTGCCCCAAGAGTCATGGGCAGCATCTTGTGCACCGGGAGCACGCCGACACCGCAGAGTGGCGTCAGTGTTGAGGTGGTCCTTTTGACTCTTTTGTTCAGACTTTCAACCCTAGACCCTTTGCGAAACAGGACTAAACTCCTAAAACCCAAGCCTAAATCCTAAACCCACTTGCACCGCCAAGTCTCACAGAGCTGGACTGGACGATAAAGGTGATGCCAAGGCCAACAAGGATGGCCACGTAGTCGTTCATGTTCGTGGCGCGCATGATCACCTTCTTCGCGCTGCCCATAATCAGAGTATGCAAGAGCTTCACAAGGCAGAACCTTAGAGGCTGAGTACCCTAGCCCAAAAAAAGTTAACCTTTTGAACTATCGGAGGATTATAAGAGCCCCAAAAAGTTAAAGGTTACCTACTTAGGGCTTAGGGTTTAGGGTTTAGGGTTTAGGGTTAAAGGTTACCTACTCAGCCACTAAGGAACAAGAAGAAGGTGATGATGATCAGGGAGAAGATCAGGCCAACGATTCCTCCGGCAACGTCCCCCATTCCCGAGAAGGCACCTCAGTCTAAGGGCTCTAGGAGGGACCCTTAATAGGGACCCTTGTAGGTAACCCTAAACCCTAAACCCTAAACCCTAAACCCTAAACCCTAAACCCTAAACCCTTGTAGGTTATTGGGGTTAATATGGAGACTACCTGGCTATATAAGGGGTATATCAGGACTATACAGTGGTTTTTTTAAAGGCAATGGGATTAAGGGTCCCTATTAGGGGTCCCTCCTAAATTCCTTAGACTCAGGTCTTGAAGGCGCCTCTTCTGGAGAAGGGCTTACCAGGGCTTCGGGCCTGGGGTTCCTCCGAAACCCTGGTTTAGGGGGTTTGGAGTTTAGGGTTTAGAGTTTAGGGTTCAGGGTTTAGGGTTTAGGGTTTAGGGTTCAGGGTTTAGGGTTCAGGGTTTACAGTTTGAGGGTCTTCGGGCTTCGGGTTTCAGGGCTTCGGGCCTAGGGTTTACAGTCCAGGGGGCCCAAGAGACACACGTAATACAAGGGACTTGAAGTGTAGACTTTTAGAATGGCGTTTTGCAGCATGTTGCTACAACCATAACTTATAGTTGTAGCAAAATGCTGCAAAACGCAATTCTACAATTCGAAACTTCAACTCCCTTACTATAACCATAACTAGAGGGCCTCATGGAATAATCTCGGGAATTGCTGAGGGCCCTAAAACAGGTGGGCAAACGAGTCAAGGAGGATGGGAGAGGATGAGATGAGGCAGGACCATCCTCAGCTGCCCTATACGGTTTAGGGTTTAGGGTTTAGGGTTGCAAACCCGGTGGAAAGTCCGAATTGGCATCTAGGGCGCCCCCGTCAAGGATGGTGCCGCCCTCGATGGACTCTGTGTAGAATTTGTCGGCCTCCAAGTAGCAGGTGTCCGAGCCACAGCCGTGATTCAAGAGCGGGAAGTAGGTGCTGCACTCTGACAATGCTTCATAAGCATCCTTGTTAACCTTCTTCCAGTTCTTGGTCATGGCCGACGACACACAGAAGTAGTTGCTGCAATCCATGGTGCTTGGGCAGCTGCCTGTCAGGCCGGTGGGCATCGCTTGGGCCAAAGGTGCGCCCAAAGAGAGAGCCTTTGTCACATCTTTGTTCGGGTCAACGAAGACGTCCTAAGTCGCGGTCTCTCGGTCCGAGCCGGACCCCAAAGCTACGAATCAAGACTAAAGCAGGGACCTTAATAAATGAGAATAGGAATCAAGACTAATGTTGCGGCTTTATCGATTAAAAGAGGGTCTTGGGCTCCTTTGTAGTATAGCTTTGTAACCCTAAGGAATGATATTCAGTCTTATTGATTTCGGTGTCTTTCTTAGGCTCATTCCGCCAAACGTTGAATGAATGGAAACCACGGAGCAGTGAGAGGGGACACGATGAACTTGGTCGGAGATGTAAAGGTCACGTCCGTGACATCTCCCAACACGCCCTCCGTGATGCCTTTGGAGATGTAGAACAAGATGCCACCCTCCCCGGTGATGGCCCCCAGGATGACCTGCCGGCACGGGCTGCAAAGCTTATGCGACAACCTTGGACATGGAAGCATTCTTCTTACCCATACAAGAAACACGTATAGTAACCTTCATAGAACCCCTAAACCCTAAACTTGGCCTTAAACTCTCAATCACTTATAGAACCTTCATAAGAACCTTGACAGAACCCCTAAACCCTTGCACAAGCTTCGTAACCGCACCATCCCACCCCAGAACCCCGACTGCCTCCTCCGGGAGCATCACAGCCACACTCAGCCTCGACGAAAGCCAGTCTCTATGGGAGTTTCTTGTGTTTTAAGGGTTTAGGGTTTGGGGTTGAGGGGTTAGGATAGTTAGGATAGTCAAGTGAAAGAGCAGCCGCCTGGAAGAGGAAACGAACAACAACACAACAGTAAAAAGAATTCCCGGAATGTCAACCCTGAACGATCCCCAAAAAGGGACCCCTCATTCTGCTTCATAGGAACATGTTGAACATGTCATGGACTGTCGCGCCGGAGAAAGCACGCTCCAGCTCCAGACGCTCGCCAGCATGTGCCATCGACACCTCAAGCTCAACTCACACACAGACTTCGCCAAACTAGAGTCGATTTGGAGGGTCGTGATTCTCCCTAAGCCCCAACCCCGAACCTGGAGGTGCGCATAAGACCGTCCCATGAAGTCCTGAGCGCCCGGCAATGGTGTTGGTGACGCTCGTACCGATGTTTGCTCCCATAATGATGGGGATCGCATATTTCACGGACACCTCCACAGCTCCACATGAGTTGAAGCGCATCAAGCTGAAACACTGCCCACCCCCGAAGCCCTTCAGCCGTTGCGTATAGCTGATCAGGGTTTAGGGTTCAGGGGAGAGAAGCCATCCACCTGCTTGATTCCTGGGAGTTCTGCCATCTCCATTGTTGGGCTCACTCCGGCACGAGAGCCTGCCTGCACTCTCCACCATTTTGGTCACGCCTCCGCCCGTCCCATCCCGAATTGCGTTTTCAAGCAACCGGCCAATTCATGTGCACTGGAAACATCCCAGTCGTACCCTGAACCCTAAACCCTAAACCCTCAACCCTAAACCTTAAACGTCACCCTCTTCAAAACGGTCCGCTCGGGAAGGCTGCTTCCCTCCATGCTCGCCGACTCACTTAAGCCGTCGGGCTGTGGGCTGCCATGAGGCTCCCAAAGAGTCCAAGTAAGATGGTAGCCACCTTGTAGGTCTTGGGGCCCCAGAAGTATATACTTCCCTAAACCCTAAACCCTAAACCCTAAACCCTAAACCCTCGACCCTAAACCCTAAACCCATACTATAACTTGGACCCTTTGGGACTTCAAGGGTGCTCATGGGGCTAAGGTTACACTTGGGGTTCCGAGCCCCGATAGGCGCCACGGCGTTTTGGCTGCCATGCGCCCTAAACCGTAAGCCTTTAAATCCTCGCAAAGCCCTAAATCCTCAACCCTAAGCCCTCAAACCCTCTCAAACCCCTAAATCCTCAACCCCAAGCCCTCAAACCCTCTCAAACCCCTAAATCCTCAACCCTAAGCCCCTAAACCCTCTCAAACCCCTAAATCCTCAACCCTAAGCCCTCAAACCCTCTCAAAACCCCTAAATCCTCAACCCTAAGCCCCTAAACCCTAAACCCTACCCCCTTAAACCCTCTCCAAACCCTGTCTAGGTTGGCCCTGACCTGACCGGCCCCGACGAGGCCAACCACGATCGAGGTGCTCCTGGGCAGTGAAGCTTAAGACTTGCTGCGCTCTTGGCTGGGTTTTGGGGTTTAGGGCTTAAAATCTACGGTTTAGGGCTTTAGGGGTTTGGGGTTTAGGGCTTTAGGGGTCTAGGGTTTAGGGTTCAGGGGGTCTATGGTTTAGGGCTTTGGGGGTCTAGGGTTTAGGGTTTAGGGGGTCTATGGTTTAGGGTTTAGGGTCTAGGCTTTAAGATCGGTTTAGGATTTGGGGGATCACCTTGCGTTCGCACCGGACTTCGAGAGAGAGAGAGAGAGACAGAGAGACAGATCACCTTGCGTCTCAGCATACATCCGAAATTCCCAATCTCGACATGCATGCTGTTCGACGCGTGTGCCCAGTTATTGCTTGCCACGTCTCGTGGAGGAGGACTGAACCAAGACGGTCGCCAGAATGCCCACCATCAAACCTGCAAGCGTGGCAGCCACTCTGTTTCCGAAAAACCTGGACCCTAAACCCTGAAGCACTAAACATCACAACCCTGAGCCCTGACCCAAAGCCCCCCTAAACGCAATGCCCGTCGAAGCGCTTCGACCGAACCAGAAACAGAATCGCCTTCACTGTATGACATTATATCTATCTATCTATCTATCTATCTATCTATTATCTATCTGTCTATCTGTCTATCTACCTATCCACCTATCCATCTACCTCTCTATCTATATTCCTTTACATTATATTTTAGTATAGTATAGTGTAGTATAACATAGTATAATATAGTATAGTTTAGTACAGTATAGTCTAGTCTAGTAAAGTCTAGTTTAGTATAGTATAGTATAGTATTCGTATAGTATTAGTATAGTATTGGTATAGTCTTAGTATAGTATTAGTATAGTATTAGCATAGTACCAGTATAGTATTAGTATAGTAGTAGTATAGTATGTGTATAGCATTATTATTAGTACAGTATTAGCATAGTGCTTGAAAAATACAGTATAGTAATTATAGTATAGTACAGTATAGTATAGTTTAGCAGAGTACCGTATGGTATAGTAGAGTATTTATGTGTGTGTGTATAAATACAACACTAATATACGTACGTATATATATATATATATGTGTGTGTGTGTGTGCGCTGTGATACTGATACAGTATTCCACCACAGTCTATGTCGAAGCAGCTCAGGCCTGTCACAGGGTTGTCCACAATCGTGAAGAGGTCTCCTGGCGGATGATCGGCTCAGGATCTAATATAGAGGCATTAATAATTAGAATAGGGCTTCGGGTTTATTATACTCTAGTTATAATAAGGAACCCCCAAAACCCTATTCTCCAAAACCCTATTCTAATTATTATTAAGGCCCCTACATCAGTGGATGCAGGGTCTAGAGTTTAGGTCTAGTGGATGCAGGGTCTAGGGTTTAGGGGTCCTTAGATATTGCTTGTAGTAGTGTTACCTTACAGCTCACAGATAGAAAAGTTAAGTTAGGTTCATCTTCCATACATAGCTACTACCAGTATTACCCTTTCAGGTGTAATACTTGGAGACTCCAAAACCCCTTAATTACGGAATATACCTTAAATTATAATAGGATCCCTAATATGATTTAAGGTATATTCCTTAATTAAGGGGTTTTGGAGTCTCTGGGTATCTAGTTGGAAGACTAATGACCTGATAGTTCATAATCCCACTGATTATAAATATCGTCTAGTAGGCAACCCGGGAGCCGTGTACCAAAAACCCTAAAGCCAAAAATCACAGGATCCCTAAATCCTAGAACCCTGACCTGAAGCCCTAAATTCAAAAAAACCCTCCAGGGATCAGGGTTTGGGGCCTTGAAAACGCGGAATCTACAAAAACCTTGGCAACCGCTGGGTTCGGGCTTTAGGGCTAGGGCCTGGGGTTTAGGGCTTTAGGCTTTAGGGCTTAGGGTTTAGGGCTTTAGGGTTTAGGCTTTAGGGCTTGAGGGTTTAGGGTTCTCAAAACAATCCCTTTCTTTCTGAGCGCGCCTGCACCTTTGCCTCCGAGCACAAGGAAAGAGCTGCCCATCATGTCCAGTCCCATCAAGAACATATAGATTGAGACGAGTACGCCGATGATCCTGGCAGGAGGCTGCGACTCCAAAACCCCCTACTTCAGGAATATGAACTAAAGAGGGATCCTAAATATGATTTAACATATGTTCCTTATTCCAAGGGTTTTGAAAAGTTTTGCAGTCTCGGGAGCACGACGACGCTCCTGAGGGTCGTGTAGAGGATGAACTCAGCCTGTCACAGAGCTTCACAGCGGTTGTTGTTTGTTTACTCGCCCCCCTTCTCCAACCGCTGCAACAGCGGTTTGGGGTTCGGGTTAGCGGAACAGGAACAGCTTGCATCAACGGAAGGTAGGTGGGGGAATCCCAAACAGGAGACCTTCTATTATCCTGAACCACACACACAAAGGGTCTGCGCAACTCATGGTAGCAATCCCTTGTCTGTAGATGAGTAGTGTAGACCAGTAAACCCACATGGCCTTCCCATGCTACCTTCATCCCATGTATAGCCTAAGCATGGCCAAAACCCGACAAGCCAATGCCTACAAACCAAAAACGCGAAACCACCAAAAAGCACTAAAGCCTTCAACCGTATGCAGCCTTCTAGAGCCCTTCTAGGACCCTTATAGAGACCCCCGCAGAAAATCCTTGTAGAACCCTTCTAGAAGCCTGGACCCTAATTATTTTTAATAGGGTAAATATAATAAGGAACCCCCCAAAATAGTATTGGTCATTGTTTAGGCCCCTATTTTAGAACCCCGAACCCTGAGTAACTAAACCCTAAACCCTACTAAACCTAAATCCTAAACCCTACACCCTAAATCCTAAACCCTAAACCCTACTAAACCTTAAACCCTAAACCGTAAACCCTAAATTCTAAACCCTAAACCCTAAACCCTAAACCCCTACAACTGCGGCCTGGCTCTGAGGCTTCCCTGCTGCGGCAACGTCGGCCATGGCGCCGGAAAGAAGCGAAGGAGAAGGGGGGACGGTTTGTAGCGCTTGATCCGAGAACTGAAAGACCGGCTTAGGGTTTAGGGTTTAGGGTTTAGGGTTCAGGGTTCAGGGTTCAGGGTTTAGGGTTTAGGGTTTAGGGTTTAGGGTTTAGGGTTTAGGGTTTAGGGTGGTGCACTTGATCCGAGAACTTGGCTAGAGGAAGCTACAGGTGGGGAGTTTAGGGTATATAGGGCTTCTATATAAGACTTCTATAGGATATATGGACCTTCTACAAGGCTCCTATAACGGTAACCACCCACCTGAAAATGTCCTCGACTTGGAACATGGCAGCTGAGGGCTTAGGGCTTAGGGTTTAGAGGTTTAGGGTTTAGAGTTTAAGAGTTTAGTGTGTTGGATTAAGAGTTTAGGGCATAGGGTACCCGCCCTTCCATAGTCAGAATAGGGTTTGGAGTATGTGGTAATGTGACTAGAAGGGGACTATAAGCAAACACTCTTATTTGTAGCGATTCAGACCCGTATATTCAGCCGGGCACAGACACTCTGCCTTTTCCTCCTCGAAAGCTACGGTGCCCGTTGAGCGGGCAGTGGCGCCGACAGGACATACGGGGAGATTGAACCAATTAAAAGCGCAGAGCTCTCTACAGCAGCAATTACACCACAAGTACGATACAAGCACAATCCAAATACTTTGTCCTGGCTGCAGTTACTTTCTAGCACTACTGTGACTACGATTGTTACAATATCACGAATACGACCAGTCTCAGTACTACATGACAACTACAATAATGTTGCGGCAGCTCGAAAGAGTTCCATGACTGGCGGGCGCGGCGAGGCCAACCACAGCTAGTTACTTGGTCTCGGCCCTCACTACGACCTAAAATTAAGCTGTGAACACGAAAGACTCACTTCACTGCCCTTGCTATCGTGACCAGTGCTACTCTAGCTGTAGCTTCATGCCAACTCTTGCTTCCATGGATTTATGCCGTTTGCTTACTACCATTACTCCCTGCTATCGGTCATAACTTTCATTCGTAGAGCGCTAGGTTTTTCCGCGTTATCGTATCTGGCCTGAAAGCTGCACCCACGCAAACCGATAAATTCCTTTCGTTTCCCTA